CAAGATTCTCAAGGTCCTGGATAGAGCCAGAGCCTGGGGTAGACTCCCTGCTCAGTGCCCCTCCCCCTGCTCTTGCGCTCTTGCTCGCACTCTCTCACACACACAAATAAATAAAATCTTAAAAGAAAAAAAAAAAGAGTCCTCTTTAAAAAAAAGTTAGATTTTAATTAACTTTATCTGAACTTTGGCTTACTTGATATTTACTACTTTAAAATAGATGGATGTGCATACACCACATATTATTTTATGTTGCAACAGTGTAAAAGTAGGGCTTTACTGAGTGCTATAAAGTTAGTAAGTTTCCCATCTTTCTTAGTCATAATCAGTCATTGAAATGAATGGTAAAATATATCATTCACACTTAAAATTCCAAGATAGATTAGATAAACATTATGATGAGAGCACGACAAAATGTTTTTGAAATTTATTTTCTAGTTATGAATAAACTTTGAGACAGTTCTTAAGAAAAGATAATCCAATTTGCTTTTTAATGTGGAGTTTAAATCACAAGTCAGAAACTTTGTAAACTCCCTATAAGAAAAAGAAAGAAAGAAAGAAAAGGATAAGAAAACTTTGGTCCAAAGACCAAAGGTAATATAAATTGCCATATTAAAATTAAGAAGCTTTTTTCATTTCTACCTTATTCTGAGTAAAGAAAGTTAAGTATACTAAGCAGCAGCTTTTAATGCCTCAATTAAGAGAACAAGAAAAAGTATAGACTTCTGGAATATCAGCAAATTATATATATTTTCAACAGTATAGTATTAGTATAAAAACAGACATATGAGTGAGTGGAATAGAATAGAGATCCCAGAAATAAACCCATACATATTTGGCCAACTAATTTACAACAGAGGAGCCAATCATATACAATGGGAAAAAGACTCTTCAATAAATGGTGCTGGGGAAACTGGACCACTGTCTTACACTATGCACAGAAATTTAACACAGGGGTGTCTGGGTGGCTTAGTCGGTTAAGTGTCCAACTCTTGACCTCAGCTCAGGTCTTGATCTCAGGGTCATGAGTTCAAGCTCTGCGTTGGGCTCTACACTGGGTGTGGAGCCTACTCAAAAAAATTAACAAAGTGGATTAAATACTTGAACATGGGACCTGAAATGATAAAACTCTAAATAGAAAACAGAAGGTAAGCTCCTTGCCATTGGTCTTGGGTGACTTGTTGGATTTGACACCAAAAGCAAAGGCAGCAAAACCCAAAAATAAACATGGGACTATATCAAATTAAAACCTGCATAGCAAAGGAAACCATAAACAAAATGAACAGGCAACCCATGGGATGGAAGAAAATATTTGCAAGTTATATATCTGATAAGGGACTCAATATCCAAAGTATATAAAGGACTCCTACAACTCAATAGCAAAAAAAAAAAAAAATATATATATATATATATATATATATGATTTAAAAATGGACAGAGGATCTGAATAGACATTTTCCCAAAAAATACAAATGGCTAACAGGCACATAAAAAGGTGCTCAACATCATTAATCATCAGGGAAGTGCAAATCAAAATCACAATAGATCTCACCTCATACCTGTTACAGTGGCTAGTATCAAAAAGAAAAGAAATTATAAGTGTTGGCAAAGGTATGGAGAAAAGGGAACCCTTGTGCACTGCTGGTGGAAATGTAAACTGGTGCAGCCACTATGGAAAACAGTGTGGAGGTGCCTCAAAAAATTACAAATAGAACTATCATATGATCTAGCAATTCCATATCTGGGTATTTATCCAAAAGAAATGAAAATACTAACTCAAAAAAAAATACATGTACCCCCATATTCACTGCATTATTTACAGTAGCCAAGACACAGCAACAACCTAAATGTCCATGGATGGATAGGAAAAAAAGTGCCATATTTTTATATTTTTACAATGGAATATTATTTAGCCATGAAAAAGAAATCTTGCCATTTGCTATAACATGGATGGACTTGAGGGCATTATGCTAAGTGAAGTAAGTCAGACAGAGAAACAAAAATACCATATGATCTCACTTACACGTGGAATCTAAAAAACAACAAAAACAAGCTCATAGATGGGGAGAACAGATTGATGGTTGCCAGAGGCAGGGGGTGAGGGGGTGGGTGAAAATGCGTGAAGGCAGTCCAAAAGGTACAGACTTCCAGTTATAAATAAGTCATGGGAATACAATGTACAGCATGGTGACTATAGTTAATACTATTGTATATTTGAAATTTGCTAAAAGAGTAGATCTTAAAAGTTCTCTTCACAGGAAAAAGATTTTTGTAACCTTATAGGGATGGATGTTAACTAGACTTAGTGTGGTAAATCATTTTGCAACATATACAAATATCAAACCATTATTTTGTACACCAGAAACTAATGTTATATGTCAATTATATCTCAGTTTAGAAAAAAAGACAAAACATGGACTTCTGCAACACCAGCAAATTACATGTATTTTCAATTAGGCACAAAGTTCTTAACTAGGCAGATGACAACTTGCAAATTCAATCCATAGAATGGGATATGAAAAGGCTACACATGTAGAATTATAGAAAAGGGAACCTCACTGCTTTTCATAAATTCTGAGAAGTTAACTGCATTCATTATTCAACTTTATTTATTTATTTATTTTGGTGCAAATGGTGATTTCATTAAAGCACGGGGATGGGACCCGTGGGCAGAAAGAGCTGCTGCTGCCCATTATTCAACTTTAAATTTCAAATTGGAATTTGGTGGTGATGCGAGGGTTTGGGAGGTCCATATACTAAAACAATTTGATAACAGTTGCAGGCTATGGAAAAGGGCTGGGGAAAGTGGTGCGCCAACCACCCTGATAACCAGAAGGGCTGTGACTCCTCACCAAGGTCAAGTGCCCTACTCTGCAGACAAGGTCCTCTGCAAATGAAAGGAAAGCCTTTGACATGAGTCTATGGATAATATATTTGGAGGTTTTCTGTTAGTTTAGTACTCTAATAAGAATATTCTAAACCGGGCGCCTGGGTGGCTCAGTTGGTTAAGCGACTGCCTTCGGCTCAGGTCATGATCCTGGAGTCCCTGGGTCGAGTCCCGCATCGGGCTCCCTGCTCAGCAGGGAGTCTGCTTCTTCCTCTGACCCTCCCCCCTCTCATGTGCTCTCTCTCATTCTCTCTCTCTCAAATAAATAAATAAAATCTTTAAAAAAAAAAATGGAGAGAGAAATTTCTAATGAAAGCATTCGGCCACTGGAAGTCAGTCTTACCCAAACTTAGCTGTACTCCTATGCCAACGAATACCTTCTTAAACTAATGGCAGTATAATTTAGGTTTCTATCACCTAAAACTGAATAAATACTGATTAATACAACTGTTGAGCCCAGACCAACATGACAGGCCTTTTTAGTATTGTACAGTTGCTAAATGCTTCTGGAGGAAGGCCACCAAAAACAAACTACCTCATGCTACTTTATAGCCAATTATGTATTTTATAAAAGATCTTACAATGAGATTATAAGTGTATATTGCAACCTCTCATTTTTTAATTTTCTTGGTTCATAGACTTCTTGAATGTCCATCAGAAAATGGCAAGGTAGAGTTAATAAAGATGATCACAGGAGAATAAAAGAGAAACAAGTTTTTTCTTTTTTTATCAAGAAGGTAGGGCGCCTGGGTGGCTCAGTTGGTTAAGCGACTGCCTTCGGCTCAGGTCATGATCCTGGAGTCCCAGGATCGAGTCCCGCATCAGGCTCCCTGCTCGGCAGGGAGTCTGCTTCTCCCTCTGACCCTCCCCCCTCTCATGTGCTCTCTCTCATTCTCTCTCTCAAATAAATAAAATCTTAAAAAAAAAAAAAAGAATATTCTAAACCATCACCTTCTAACAGGATGCAATAGTGTTTATCAAAAGATATGAATGAATTCAAGTGGCATTTTTAGAATACTTTATTCAATCATGGTAAAACTCATTGATTTTTCAATTTTGTTATATTTTAGGTATTTGTATTAGTAAATCAAACAAGATCCTTTTTAAGTTTTCCATTTCTTTTTTCTAAAAGCTCTATATCTGGTTTTCAATTACCTCCTCATATTCTACAAAGACTTCCTGTTTTGTTTTGTTTTGTTTTGTTTCTGATAAATGCCGTGTTTTTGGTTGTATTAGGCTAGGACTAAAACAGTCTTGGAACTTCAATTTGTCCTGTTTAGATGATGGGAGAAGGCAAGTCACAGTCACCTCGGGAGATTTCTCAAAGCACAGCCACCTCTCCTGTCCCTAGACTCACTTCCCAGTACTTTTCCTGGTAAATGCAAAGGCAGAACTCCTGCCTGCAAATCTCCCAATCCTCCGGATGTTGGCGATCCCTTTCAACAGTGGCACAATCGCCACCTCCCCGAGATGAGCAGGCTCGGTTATTCTTGGGCCCGGGCAGCGTACCTTCAGCCCCCACTGATTAGTGGGTTGGGAGCCCGCAGGCGCTGAAGAATGGCCCCATGGATAACCGAGACAGAAAAGGCCGGGCTCTATGAAATGGGTCCTCCACGTCACTAAGTGCCATTTTCACCATGCCTCTATCACCTGCTGTTAGCCTCGCAGGCAGGAAAACAAAGCTCGGTAGGAGCACATCTAGGAGCACATCGAGGTCTCTGCCCCATACGTGGCCGCCTGCGCGCGTCCCGCCTGGGGAACTGAATGGAGGCCCCCCACGCCTCCCCGCAGGCGTCCTAGTGTGACCCGGGGCCAGCTCACAAACGCGCAGGGGCGCGGCCCATCCCAGGCGCTCGGCCACGGTCGCCGCGGCACAGGGTCGCGTCAATGCGGGGCCGCAGGCCACCGCTATCGCCGGAGGTGCTGGATGCTCCCCTGAGCGCATCCCCGCCCTGCCCGCCACCCGAGTTGCAGTCGCTGCAAAAGGCTCCAGGTGAAGCAAAGCGCACTATTACTTAGGCCACCCGACAAGCCAAACCCAGGTTTTCTTCTCCCATTTCCCCTCAACATCTACAGCTCTTTACGTCCTCCCTCTTGATGCCCCAAGGATACCCACCTCTGGCGTGTGTGCACCCTGTCCCGCGTTGCTTTAGCCTCTGTTGAGTGGCCTTTATTCTACACTCCAGGAAACAATTTGTTGATACTGCAGGACATAAAAATGTCTTGTGGTTAATACCTGTGTCTTTCAGATATGTAACAAATTACAGAGGGTTGTTCTTCAATTTAACTAATATTTATAAAAACAGAGTTGGGATCTGTTTTTGCCTATTCGACTGGCAGTATTTACTTTTAAATGAGTCTCTCAGTGCTTGTGAGGACGAAGGGAAAAAGACTTTCTCCTATACATTTTTAGAATGTTATTTATCAGCCTTTAAAATGTTCACATAATGGTCATACAAATGATAACACAGACTTCAATGGAATATTTTGCAGGCATGAAAGATAAGCTTTTCAAATATTTTATTTCAAATCACGGTATGTTAACTACAATATATATATACTGTGATGTTAGAAATGTTCGGTATCTGCTCTGTTCAATAAGGTAGTCACTAGACACATTTAGCTATTAAGCATTTGAAGTATGGCTTGTGTGACTGAGAGGCTAAACTGTAATTCTATTTAATCTAAATTGAAATAGCCACATATAGCTACTGTTACCATATTAGACAAGGATACTGCATAGTAAGGCCTCAATTTTGTAAAAAAAAAAAAAGAATATGTATGGTATTTATCACTGGTTATCTCTAAGAAGTGGTTAAAGGGGACATCATAGTTGCTTCTCCAGCATCTGTTCTTCCTTTGGGTTTGGGTTGCTCTCTCAGTTATGTATATATAAATATATACATGCATATATATATATAAATATATACATGCATATATATATATTTCCCCTGTGATATTTGGGGTGGGCAAATGCCACCCCTGGCTGTAGGGGTGAGCCATGTAGTACTATCTAAAATAGTATTACTCTGACTCCTAGCCACAGTCACTGGTTCAAGGTTAGGCACTTGAACTAATTTGGGCCAATAGAATAGGAGATCTCATCTTTGACTCTGTTTCTCCTTTATTAGCAGTCCCAATTGGATGCAGCGTTCATAGTCAGTCTGTAGGTACCCAGACACGGAGACCAGAGCAGCCTTTGTTTAGTAAGTTTTTCATCTTACACTCTTGTTACACAATGATGTGAATGTACCTAATGCTACTAACTATACATTGGAAAATAATTAAAATGATAAATTTTATATATATTTTACCACAATAAAAAAATAAAACAAAAAGTACCCTTTTGCAGAAAAACCACCAAACACCTGGAGACAAAACTACCATAAACTGTGGTAACCCATCAAGATCACAATCCCATGTAGGCCATGCTTACTAAAGAAGGCCCAAGGGCTTAAGCCACCTGAAAACGCCATCCCCACAAAAGCCAAAAGCACAATCTGGGCTGCTACAAAATGTTGAGGTCAAAACTCTACAGCCATAAGCCATGAACCCTTACCACCCTAGAGACTTAATTTCTCCAGTTGTATTTATTTTCAAAGTGTTCAGCCAAGGCACCAGATGTTGCCATTTGAGGAGCAGTCAAAGAATAACACCCTTTCTTCTCCTCCCAAGTTCCTTATCATTAAATATAACCAAGCAGATGGGGGTCAAAATGTATTTGTATTTGTATTACTGATAAAACAGTTTAGAGAAAGGAGCTTTGGTGTGTAGCTAAGTGGACTTGTGATAGTTCCCCCCTGAATTCAACGTAATTACTTTGTCATCACACAGATGGACAATCTCGGCTCCCCCAACAGGTAGTCAACCCTCTTATTCTATGGAAGACAGCTCACTAGAACACAAATCTGGCAGGCAGAAAGACCTGGGGGGAACCCAGAAGGAGATGAGCTTATCAGGTATTCAAGTCTTCTTTGTAGAGGAGATACTGTGGAAATAAGATAAAAATAAGGGTTAGAATTTCCTCTATATAGAAACATGAATCCAGGAGAAAGTAGTTACTTCACCATCTGTCTTGAAAAGAAAAAGGGGGCGCCTGGGTGGCTCAGTCGTTAAAAGTCTGCCTTCGGCTCAGGTCATGATCCCAGGGTCCTGGGATCGAGCCCCGCATCGGGCTCCCTGATCAGCGGGAGGCCTGCTTCTCCCTCTCCCACTCCCAGGCTTGTGTTCCTGCTCTCGCTAACTCTCTCTCTCTCTCTCTGTCAAATAAGTAAATAAAATCTTTAAAAAAAAAAAAGAAAGAAAGAAAAGAAAAGAGAAAGAAAATTTGGACAAACCAGTAACCATCAAATCTAATGAGTAAGAGATCAAAAAGAAAATTTTACAGAACCTTTAGGGAACAGATGATCCCTATAACATATAAAATATTTCAACAAACAGGTAACTAGGGTAAGTTACCCAGCTCAATTTATGAGGTTAACCTTGACAACAAAACTGGATAAGGACATTACAGAAAAGGAAATTATCAACAAAATTACTAATAACACAGGTATAAAAATTCTCAGTAACTGTTACATTTAATTCAAAAGTGAATTAAGAGGCAATATATCGTTACCAAGTTTGATTTACCCTCAAAATGCCAGATGTTCAATAAAGAAAACCTATTAATGTAATATACCACATTAGTAGATTAAAAAATAAGACAAAAATAGCTGCTATCATTCCTTCTATCCCACATTGTTCTTACTGAAGGGCTTAACAAATTCAATAAGACAATAAATGAGTCAGAGAATTGGATAAGCAGAAATAAATACTGCCAATATTTGTAATATTGTCTTTATAGAAAATCTAGTAGAATGTATAAAGTTATTAGAACTCATATGACAGCCCAGTCATATTGCTGGAGACAAGATCAACATATAAAAATCAATAGTGTTTTGGGGTGCCTGGGTGGCTCAGATGCTTAAGCGTCTGCCTTTGGCTCAGGTCATGATCCCAGGGTCCTGGGGTCGAGGCCTGCATCGAGCTCCCTGCTCAGCGGGGAGTCTGCTTTTCCCCCTCCCTCTGCTTCTCCCCCTGCTCATGCTCTCTCTCTCTCTCTGTATCTCCGTGTCTTGAATGAATAAATAAAAAAAAATATTTAAAAAAAATCAATAGTGTTCCTATATATGAATATTTTAAAAACTAAAAAAAGACATAGAAATCAGATATCATTCCCAATAGCAAAAGAGATATACCATGTTATTAAATAGGAAGAATCAGTATCATAAATGTGTCACTTCTTTCCCAAATTAGTTCACAAGTTTAATTCAATTCTTATTGAAATACAAGCAAGACATTTTGTGGAACTTGATGCACAGGTCTTGAAATTGATCTGGCTATGTAAAGGGTTGAGAATAACCATCATAATTTTGAAGAAAAAGAATAAGGGGAGAAGACTTTCTCTACCAGATACCAAGATTCATTATAAAGTTATAATCATCAAAACATGTGGTATTGATGCAAACTTAGACAAATAGGTAAAAGGAATAGAACTGAAATTCCAGAAACAGCTCTACACATATATATAAATGAGGCAGCACTAGAAATCAGTGAAGAAAGAATTTACTATTGAATATATTGCAGAGACAACTGACTAGACATATGAGAAAAATTAAATTAGATCCCTACCTCATACCATAAACAAAATAATCCATACCATATGGATTAAAGAACTAACTGTGAAAGGCAAAGCATAAATTTTTTAAACATTTGTGCTGGATATATTCCATTTGCCACTTACACCAGTTAGTCTTTGCTGCACAGCAAACACTTTTTTAAGCTCCCAATTCTGTGACTAAGCCATTTAGGGTTGGCTCAGCTAGGCAGTTCTTCTGATAGTGGTGGCTGGGTTCACCCATGCATTTGTGGTCAGCTGACAGTCAGCTAGGTCACTCTGCTTCTGTGTGTTGGCTGGCTTAAGGCTGGAATAATGAGCCAACTGTCTCTCATCATCCAGTAAGCTAACTAGACTTCACACTGCATAGTTGATAGGGGTCTCAAAAACTGTGCGGTGTCCGAGTGCTTTTCAAACCTCTGCTTGTGTATGTTTGCTAATGCCCCATTGGCCAAAGTTTGAGTCGCATGCCCAAAGTGAGATTCAAGAGGTGAGGAAATAGACTCTACTTCTTGAGACACATGAAACACTGGAAAAACTTGTGGTCATTTTTGTAATAAGATAAGAATGGAGGAGAGTGAGAGTGGGGATTTATTCCTCTAGCTCTCTCTGCTGCAGCCTTGCTGCTGACTGTATTTATTTATCCAAAGTCCAAGCTCCAGTCAGGTGGCCTTTGTCCACAGTGCACTGTCTGGGTTCTCTGTCCCCTACCAGGCTTAGGAGTAACAGTGGAGCTCACTATCTTCTGTGATTCCCCTACATTCTACCTTTGTAAATAAACTCTCTGGTAAACTTTCCTCAAATTACTCAATGTGAGGGAAGCATGTTCTCCTGTGGGATCCTGACCAACAGAGAAGTAAATATAGAAGAACTTCTTAAGGCACAAATGGCAAAAACCATAAAATTAAAATATGAGAAAACATATTGTGGAAATAGAAAATTATACAACCAAATGCTTTGACTCAGCCATAGTTAAAATGAAAGCCGTAAGCCATACATTTTGAGAAACTTTGAGTGGAGATGATTTGGACACAGTAATTTTAATAATCTTTAACACTAAGTTAAAGCAAAAGCTAAAAATATGTTGATTAAACCCCAGCCTGGCCTGGTGTGGTTAAGGTTCTGTTCGAGTTAGTTCTATGCATGGATAGAAGATAATTTATTAATATGTTTCCTACTATGGACATTTATGTTATTTCCAATCTGTTACTATTACAATATTTTTTCTGTTCACTTAATTCATTCTCTATCCTAATGTCTTCTCATTGTTTTACTTTTTACATTTAAATCTATAGTCCACTTAAAATTGATTTTTGTGGATGGCAAGATAGGGGTCAAATATCTTTTTCTTTCTATATGGATTCCTAGTTGACCCAGAATCAAAAGCCATACTTTCCACAGTGATCTTAGTGCCACCTTTGTCATAAATCAAGGTCCATATATAACATGGGTTCCTCCATTTAATTTCAACCTTTCTGTGATCTTATGCTTTAGAGTCATCTTTCATAAATAGCACTTGGGTTTTTTTTTTATCTGACTTTTAATTGGTTATTTAGTCCATTCACATTTATTTTGATTATATTTGGACTTGTTTATACTTTCTTTTAAATTTTTTTCTAATTTCTTTCTCTCCTTTTTTACTTAAAAAATCTCTCTAAATATTGTTATTGTTCTTCTTTTGTGTATTTCATCTTAAAGTTTTTCTCTTTATAAGTCTGGTATCTATTCCCTCTATTTTTATTGTTAATAACTCTTAAAAATTTATCAAATTTTATCAAGCATGCCCAACACATTCTTAAAGCTGAACAACTTCTCATCCACCTCACATAAAAAAGACTTTAGAACACTTTAGCTCAGGTTTTGTTTTTATTTTGAAATAATTTTAGATTTATAGAGAAGTTGCAGTATTTACATTGGTATAATACTACTAACTAAACTATGGACTTTATTTGAAATTTACATTTTTACAGTAATTTTTTTTTTCTGTACCAGAGGTCTAACCCAGGATCTCATATAAAATTGTTGTCACGTCTCCTTAGTCTCCTACAATCTGTGACAGTTTCTGAGTCTTTCTTTGTCTTTTATGTCCTCAACATTTTTGAAGAGAACTGATCAGTTATTTTGCAGAATGTCCCTCAATTTGGATTTGTCTGATGTCTTTTCCTAATTGGATTGAGGTTATGCATTTTTGGCAAGAAAACCACAAAGTGATTAGCCCTTCTCAGTCCTCTATATCTTGAAGTACATAATGTAGTGATGATGTTGACTTTAATCACTTGGCAAAGGTCTCTGCACTGCAGTTATCATTATCCTCTGTAATATTCAGGGAGATTCTTGACTCATACATTATTCCTAATATTCCAGTTCTTTTTAAATGCCATACATGAAGCACTGTTATTGTTTTATATAGACCATTATTTCTTTGAATTTACGTATGTGACTACCATTTTACTTGCTCACTATTCCATCTTGAATTTCAGACCATCCTCTGGTATCTTTTTCCTCTTAAAGTATATCTTTTAGAAGTTCCTTTTGAGCAAGTCCCTTGGTGGTTGAAGTTCCCAGTTTTGTTTATGTGTAAATGTTTTTCTGTTCCTTTTATTTTTGAATGATAATTTGGCTGGATCCCAATTCAAGGTTGATAGGGGCTTTCTATCAATATTTTGAATAAGTTATTCCACTGTCCTCTAGCTTTCACTTAATTTGCTAGGACATCTGTTCTCATCTTGTCATTCCTCTATAGGTGTTCCTTCCCTTCTCTCTGACTGCTCTCATGATTTGTTCATTGTTTCTACTGTTTTGTAGTTTGAGAATGACACTTCTCTTTATTAATCCTGCTTGGATATGTTGTATATCATGGATCTCTTGATTCATATTTTTCATTAGTTCTGGAGCATCCATAGCCAGTATTTCTTTAAATATTGCCTTTGCTCAATTATGTTCACTTTCTCCTTCTGGAACTCTAATTAAATATATGTTACTCCTTCTCTTTATATTTTCCATCTCCTTCTCTATCTTTACCACATTTGGATATATCTTATTTTATTGACTTTTTAATTTTTCCTTCCCCTCCCTTTTTTTCCCTCCTGTGGAACAGTTTTAATATCTGCTCTGGGTTTCAGAAGTGGCTTTTCTCTTGTCTTAGTGAAAGCATCCTGTCTTGTCGTCTAAGACTCCTGGCCCTGGTGTGGGTGGGGGATGGGGCAGGGGGAAGGGGGGAAGAAAGAAAAGGGTAGGAAGGGTGGCCAGGGTTCCTCTATTCTTTGACAAACCCCATTTCCAGTAGGGGCACAAAGACCAGAGGAGAGAAGCCCCAGCTCTGATGGTGGCTC